GGTCAACAGTCATTTGGGTCATTTCCATCTTTTTTCTTATCTAGACCTTTCTTTTTTGGCACATGGGCCCAACCATACCCAGAAACTATTCTCTCCCACAAAACCGATATTTTAGACTTGAACTTCGTTCAGAATTAAAATAAGGCTTTTAAACAGAAATCTTTTTTGTCATTTGTAAATGGTAGTTCTTCGCTCCTGAGAAGTACTTGGAGTAGGCAGTGAGCTAACCCACAGCATCATGTGCCTGGCACATAGTATGCACTCTGCAGAAGTAAGTCCTTGAGAAGTCTGGGAAGAATTAGGAAAGAAGAAAGGGGGTAGAATGAAGGGACTGGTTTCAGAGGTTGGCTTAGAACAGGGGAGACTTGTATGTGATAGGAGGCCCTGGCTCATTTCTCCTGCTGTCTTGGGTTGCTCACAGCTAAGCCCGGTGCCACTCTGACCTACAACTCTGCCCTCCTCCATGTTCCTGGATCAGTTTCAACAGGAGCAGCAGATCACAAGCTACGGCTTGTGCAACTGGGCACCATTCATTTCCTCAGGCCCCAGTCCTAGGTCCCAGGGATGCCACAGGCTGGACCTCCGTGCCCAAGTCACAGCTCCCCCAGTCCCTTGGACTCCAGTTCCTAGAACTGGGCTTATGTTAGGTTCCCAACAGCGCACACCTCCTGAGGACCGGTACTGGCCCTGTCTGCCACCCGGGATCATCTGCCCATGTTTCCCTACTGGTATGTCACATCCCTCTGAAATCCAGGTGGAGCCCACAGTCTCCTTTTGGAAATCCCTCATGTCAGCTGCTTCCAGAACCATCACAGAACTTGCCACATCCTCTGTATCCTGGGCCTTGTCCATGAGCTGATCCTCTGCTCCCTTGTCCACCTCAGACCACTCCTCAGGGCTGAGCTGTAGTGAGAGGCCCCCTTGCGACAATGCTGGGTTCAGTTATATTGAACTAACATTTCTGAACGCAGCATCTAAGCTCAGCGCTAGGCAATATAAAGATGCATAAGATATGTCCCAACCTTCCCGGTTTTAAAGTGCCATTAAAAACACCTGCACAGGACCATAGTTCAAGGATAAAGGTTAGGCCTTGAAGATGAAAAGACACCATCTCTTTGGAGATGGGAGAAAAGAACACACAGGCCCAGCCCCTTCTCGGGATAAGTGACGCAAATGGGTATGAAGCCTTCAGCTGAGTGGAAGAGGTTTGGAACAAAACCCAAGGGGGCCTTAAGGAGGACAGTGGAAGAAAAACCAGGCATGACCGAGGAAGAGCTGAGACCCAGCTGAGATCAGATATGTGATCTTATGAATGTGGGAGGTTTATCACTTCTTTCTCCCAAGCCCTACTCAGCAGTTCAGAGCAAGACAGGGGGAAAGGAGGGCAGAGCTAAGGACTGGCCAGGGGCTCACAGCTGACGGACAAGTCTAGGGTGTTTATAAACACATGGCTAAGACACTGGACCATGACTGAGTGGACAGGAGTCCAGGTGAGGCCAGAACAATGGAGTGCGGTTGGAGGCCACAGAATCAGGGCCCAAGAAGATGAGGCCAGCGAGCAGGGTCAGAGGGCATGAGGGAAGCACGGAGAGAGCATCATGGAGGACGGCAGTTCGTCCCCGGCTCTGGAGACCACAGACTCCACACCATATTTGTGTCTTCTTTCCTTCCTCCCTGCCACTCGCTGTCCCTTCCACAGATCCTGTGTGTTATCTGTTTCCAACGTGCTAATCACCGGACAGCCTAGACATGAGCCCTTGCCTGGTAGTCCAGAGTCTAGTGCAGAAGAGAGACACTTCAACTCCCCACACCCAGTGTAGCAAGCGTCCCGTGGGGGGCACAGACAGGATGCCCTGGGAACACCCCGACGCATGACCCACACTGGCAGTTTGCAGAAGGCTTTCCAAGAGGAAGTGATGTCTGAGCCGGGACCTCAAAGATAAGAGGAAGTTAAGCAGACAGAAGGGTGGGGGGAGTGTAGCACTGCAGGCTGACGCCTCTCCTCACTGCCCACCTGGTGGCAGCTGGCTTTCCCTCAGCTGGAACTGCTTTCAGATATCACCACTCAGCTCCTCACCAAATCTTGCCTTTGCGGGGCCCACAGATGTTGTCACCTCTTGCTTTTCTCCCTCCTCTCTGACCTCCCTTCTCTGCTGCCCCGCTTCGTGCCCTCCCCTGCCCCCAAAACATACGTGTCGGTGTCCTCTTCAAGGCCGTGACCACACGTCTTGCTCTCCAGCATCTCTCTTCTTCCATAATTGTGTCAACATCCATATTTTCCTCTCCGGCCCTGGCCTCCCTCAAGGACCCAGCACCATGTTTTCAACAGCCACGGACATCTCATGGTCTCATCCATCAGCCTTCAAAACTCTTGATTTTATCGCCTTTCACCTCATGACGGTATCTCTGTGGTGGCCCCGGCCTTATCCCTTCCTTTCCCAGATGCGTGGTCTGGGGTCTCATTAATTGTCACCTCCGAGGCCATCTTGCTTTCCCCGCCCCCACACCCCACAGTCACCTGGCCTGTACGTGCTCCCTAACCGCCATGTACCTATGCTGCACACACAGTAGGGGGCATTTCCTGCTCCGCTCCCGGCCAGCTCTGAGCCCGCCTGCTTCTGGAGAGAGCTCCTGAGTGAGAGGCCCGTTGTATGTGAGAGGAAGCCCAGCTCCTTAGATGGGCTTCCAGGCCTCAGTCTGGCCTCAGAGCATCTCCATCTATTGCCTCTCATGGCCTTTGCTTCAGAGGAAGTGCCCTACAGGCGCCATGTTGCCACTTCCTTGCCAGCTCACATGGGCCTCTGGTTCAATGCCCTTGCCTCCAAGTGCCCACTGTCCAGATCCTCAGCAAAGCTCATCTCAAATATCTCTGGTTCAAAGAAACCGCCTGTGGTTTTTTCCGTCAGAGGAAACGTCTCCTCTCTGTCTACACCTCTCTATTGGAACCCATCACTGTCTGCCTTGTATTTTAGTTAGTTGTGTGCGTCTCTACTTCCCCAGCATATCTGAAGGCAGGCCTTGAGGTCAGGGGTTCAGATTTCTTTATCTCTGTATATAGGTTCAACATGGGGAACTGGTACATCCTGGGTACTCCATCCGGAGGTGTGGAATAAAGGCGTGAATGTGGTTTCAGTAAGGCCATTTTAAAAAATGCAAAAATAAGTCTTTTCTGATTTCACTCTTAGAAAACTAACCTAAGAAGTATCATAACGTAATAATCAGAGCAAGAACAGAGATCGTAGATATTATTCTATTATTCTGTCTCCTTCAACCTTCACAAGTCATTCTGAGTCATGTCATGTCCCTCATCTCTGTCATGGGGATGATTCTGGCCAGACATTGTCTTTGGTAGAAATGTTCTCCAGGTTATGAGACATCAGGTCACATATGCCATGTTACGTAGTCTCTAGTTAAAGGAAAGCTCATGGGTTAGCGGGGACCTTCGTTTTCACGTTTGTGTCTCTCAGCACCAGCTGAAGGTCCTGTTTCTGTTTGCTCCATGCATGTTTCCAATTCGGTGAGCAGAACCGTGACTTTGCTGATAAAAAAAAGCATGCCTGCCCAGTCCTGCCACAGTTGTACAGATGTGGGAAGGCAGGTCCCTGCATGACCCGTCGAACAGTGGCCCTACCATTGTGGAGCTTCTGGAGTTAGGCTTGTAAAAGTAAAAAAAAAAAAAAAAAAAAGAGATTTTTGTTCTTTCAAAAACTTGCTATAACCCTGAGCCCCTGTATGCATAGAGCGAGCAGGTTGCTTTTCATTCCAGTTAGGACAGTGGTGAGAGGCGAGACTCAAACAGAAACAAGAAATATTTAGATTCGTTGGGGGGCGAGGGGGGGCAGGGATCTGGCTGGTTAAACATCGGAATGCTTCTTATGTGGAAAAAAAAATGAGGCTCATAATTAGACAAATGTATCTACACGGCTGAGACATGGGGATTTATGAGCTCAGAGTGAGGGGGAGGGCTTCTTAGACGATGGAGAGAAAAAGACTATTTAAAAGGCATGACCCCAGGGCATTAGCACGTCTTTCAGGGCGAAACTGAGAACACAGAGCACCTTAGGGATGAGCCAATCTGTCGGCCACCTTAATCTACAAATGAGGATGCAGAGACCCAAGCCAGTAAGTGAGGTGTTTTAGGTTATTAGTGTAGCTGGATGAAAACCTAGGGCTTCTGACCCCATGCTGGTGCTAATTCTGGAACCTGATGGAGGGGGTCATACTAGCGGCAGAGAGAGGCTTTCATTGTCTGAAGATGTCGTTAATATAAACAAACATGTCCTGAGGATGGTCTCCTCTGCTGACTTCATTGAAAACACACACACACACACACACACACACACACACACACACACACACAC